TTTCGCTATAAAATAAAACTATTTTTTTGCAAACACTCTGTATATACAGTATTTTTAAATATCTTAAGCATGTTGTTGCGTCCAACTTATATATTCACAGCACTCAATTTCTTTAAAGCAAAATTTAATCTATTTTCATTTTTAGCATATCTAGACATTTTATTTATCCACTAGCGTTTTAATTTTATACATTAATACAATTTATAAACAACACTATGCTTTTATTAATCTCAGTACTTAAATAAAAGTTAAAATTTATTAGAAAAATATTTTTTATTGGTAATTTTGATAAAAATCAATATAAACATGACTATATTTACATTTTGTTTAAAGAAAAATTTTTCAAGAAATATAAGTTCATTGAATTACCAAAAAAATCTATTTTATGAATTAATCAGTCCTTTTTTGGGATATCTTAATTTATTTTAATTATTTTGTTTTATTTGTTAGCATTTATTTTTACCAATTAAACAGATTTTTGATAATATATTTTCGTTACTGCATTAATTTTTGTTACAATATATTACATGTTATGGTACTTTACATCTAAGCCAGCTGTCAAGTTCCATTCCAAATATACAATTAATATACAGGGTGTAAATGAAAAAGTACGAAAGAAATCGGAAAGTGACTCAGTCTTTTAAAAAATAAATCGTTTTTTGTATAAAATTTTTCAATTTCGTTTTAAATTTTTAGAAGCAATGTCTGTATGATGTAATATCATATATCATACTGTTGTTTTTGTAATAATGTAGCCTTTTTACAAATTTAGTGTACAGATCAGTGCCCCATTTGCATGGCTGCAAAGGAGAGTCGAGAAATTTTATATTTAATACACAATTTATTTTAAATAACCAGATTTTTTCGCGCTTATTACACCTTGCATACGTTTAATTTATCCAATAAAAAATATGATTACGCCAACAATTTCGACATTCCTTACATCTTAATTTTTTTTTACAAAAATGTTTACAACACCAAAAATATTTTTGATATATACATTAATAAATATTTTTAGTTTATGCAACATGATCCCCAATCTGCACAAAGTTCATAGAATTTATTATATACAATTTTAGGACTTATATAACAATAAAAAAGGTTAATTTAAAAGTGACTCTACTAAAGTTTCTACTTTAACTTATTTTTAAGAACTTGATTATCTATAGTCTGTAGAACCATCATCCAATGTTACAACATACCATGTATTGTTACTTAAACTGGTATGTGAGTCTAAAATTATAAATTTAAATACAACCAAAATGAATAAAGTCCAAATATACATACTTAAAATTAATAAAATCGGAACGCACTCAATTACTAATGAGGAAGATGCATATATTTTATTTTTCGCCAGAAACTGTTCAATTTATTAGAATAAATACGTGTAAATGCAAAAAAAACTTTTTTCTTGAAAGCAGTACCACAATTTTATAAAACGCGCCATTAAAATACTATGGATAACGCAAACGACGCGCGACGCCTCGCGAATTGAAACGATATTCTGTTGGTCTGACGTCACCCGCCGTTCTCGTCGACGCGCGATGGCCAGCAGCAGCCAGACGTGTTCCGTTTATGTACGTATTTAGGTGGCGTACTAAGACATTTTTGTTGCTTTTAGCGTTGATTGAAGGAGCTTTTTATGCTTTTTTGTGCAGTTATTATTTGTATGTGTTGTGTGTTCTGAGAATTTTTTAAGTAATGGCAGATTCCGGGTTTGTAAAAGCACAATCAGATAACTTGCCAAAAGTCGATGCTTTTATATTGGCTGCTTTTATAAATACAAATTCCCAATTTATTGGTGCTGAATTACGAGGACAGAGACAAAAAACAGAGAGGTATGTAACATTTATTCTTTGTAGTACTGAGGCATATTTAAGTATAAGTAGGTACCTACTGTTACGAACTTTTATATAGTTATAAATTTTAATGTTATAAACTTATTTGTCAGATCAGGTAGGGAGACGTATGGAGATAATGCTGTAGGTTATGTAGAAGTGAAAAGAGACAAAAATATTTCTTTAGTACGTGGAAAAATAACTCCAGAGCATAGCGTGAAAAAGAAAATTTTTTTATATATTGACACCCCCTTATCCTTGTTATTTTTAAAGATTGTTTTTTTTACGAAATTATAGGAAATAAATTGTGTATCAGTAATGAAAATATTATACAAGGTGTCCCATAAGCAAACGCCAAAATTAAGTTACTTTTTTAAGCGAAACACCCTATATATTTTTAGATCCTTCGGAAATTTCTAGATATTCTAGATATATTTCATGTATAATATCCTATACCTATCTTCAAATGTTTACGAAATATTGACAGTTGAAAAGCGAAAAATACCTACAATTTTCTGGACCACCTTTTTTGAGACACCCTGTATAACTAGAATTAATTTTAAAATAGAGTATATGAAAAACCTGTAATGAAGTTCATAAAAATTTCTAGGACACCCTGTATATTGTGTTGATGTTGTACTAGAATAGCAGGGACTTTATTTTCTTTAATGAACTTCATTAGTGTTTCTATTGTTGAATTATATTTAATTGCCATTTTGTAAGAGAGTTTTGATCGGTTTTGGTCGCTGTAGTTCGGTGCGAGAAACCGAGACGTTTGCGCCGCTCTCCGTACCAGTGCAGGTTGAGTGGAGGGGAGCGTAGTCGAGTACCTCGGCCGCACTAGCACTACGGAGTTAGTTAGTGGTCGCACATGAACCAGTGAGGTTCGAGTCTGGAGTGCCCTGCCAAGTGTCCTGCTGCCAGCCGCCTGCCGCCGTACTGTATAAGGTAAGCACCCACCGCCAAAGTGATCGAGGGTAGGTCGTATTATTTTATTGTTATTAAGCGTTTACTCGACTACCTGGTTGCGTTATAGGGATAAGGGAGTTAGTTGACGGGATTGTTAGGATATTAAAAACGCGGGAGAACAACCGTTGCCGTCCAGGCAAAGAGGGACTACGTTGCGCTACGGGCAGGTCGCCAGGAATGATGTCCTGAAAAGGTTGTCTGACATCTGCTCCGGCTCAGTGTGCCTCTCGGGGAAAGCTAATTACGGGCTAATAAGTAATTCATCTTTTTAAGGGACAGTCCAGGATTGCCGAGCAGGCAAAAAGGGACTACGCTGTGCTACGGGCAGGTCGCCAGGAATGATGTCCTGAAAAGGTTGTCTGACATCTGCTCCGGCTCAGTGTACCTCTCGGGAAAGCTAATTACGGGCTAATAATTAATTCGTCTTTCTAAGGGACAGTCCGGGCAGTTCAGTAAACGCACGGGTCGCGAAGGTTCACGGAGCTAACACAGGACTTCGCCCAAATCCCGAAGCTGGTTCTGTAGCCCGCGTATTTTTCTAGGTGTGTCGTCCGGACGACACCCTGCATCAGTGACGCTGAACGGGGTCTCGCCGATATAAATCCCGAGGTTGTCCTGACCGGGCGGTGTGTGTGCGGCCTGCGTTTCTCGAAACGACGTACAACTCGCCGAGACGTCGCTAATTTCATGATCCAGGGCTCGCGTGTGTGTATATCCTACAGGAGGCAGTTAATTTCGCGATCTATACGGGGCTCGCGTGTGTGATTATCCCACAGGACGCCGATTATTTTTGCGATCGATCCAGGACTCGCGTTTGTATATCCCTCGGGACGCTGTTAATTTTGCGATCTATCCGGGGCTCGCGTGTGTGATTATCCCACAGGACGCCGATTATTTTTGCGATCGATCCAGGACTCGCGGGACGCTGTTAATTTCGCGATCTATCCAGGGCTCGCGTGTGTGATTATCCCACAGGACGCCGATTATTTTGCGATCGATCCAGGACTCGCGTTTGTATATCACGGGACGTTTTTAACGTCGACGCCGATCCGAGGTTCGTGTTACGTTGTCAAAACGGACGCCGTTCCAAGAAATGTTTAGCTGCGACCATCGGGACGCCTGAAACGACGTCGCCGCCGTTTAGAGAATCGCGTCATAGTAGAGTACGTTGCTCCGGTACTTACGTGTCCGTGTTCATTAGGACGCCGCTAAATTCAACGTCGATCAGGAACTCGCGTCATCTTATTTAATAGGACGTCATTTCGGGAACGCGTTTTGAATTCGCGTGATAGAATCAGTCAGAGAGTTGCATCTCGGGAATAATCGATCAAAACTCTAGAGGTACACGGTTGTTAGTGTAAATTTGGTTTTGCGAGGTACCAAACATTGATTTTATTTTTATTATTGTAAAGTTTACTTTATGGGTCTTTAAATATACATTTTATTTTTGTTACGATTCGAGGACGTGAACCTTCCTGGATTATTTTTGTACATAATTAATTAGTTAAATAAAAGCCTAGTGTTACGTTATAGTTAATTGTGTGTTTTATTTTCTTTTCATCTCATCACTCCCTGGTATCTCCACTGTATAAAAGCTACCCGTATTGGCACTAGTGTTCTCTCAAACACTTTAAACATTGGGATGGCGCCCGAGGAACCGAACCAAGGCAACTCGACGTCAGTGACCTCTCTCTAAAACGGGGGGGCTCTCACAAACCATGCAACTTTTTTATTTAATGTTTTCTTCTAAAACTTGAAGTTAAGGCTGTATGATGTGGGTGTCAAAATATAATGAATAACCCTGTACATTCAAATTTCATATACCTATGTAAGACAATATACATAAATATATGAACTTACATCAAAATGATCTTCACAACAATAAATCGTAAAAATAGAGGATAATTTAACGTTTTTCTTTTCATCTCTTCTCATGGCCTTGGACCATTTTTTTCAGTTTTCGCTCATCCATTACGATTTATAAATATCACCAATTACTAATTATGTATTAATTAACACAAATAACTAAAATTTTGACTCGGATTCAACAGCGTTTAAAAGCAAACTGTGTAAAATAAGCCGCGTCTGGCTCCACTCAACCAGAAGAACGGCGGATGACGTCACAGCGGCAAGGCGCGGTAGAGAACGTTTGCCCGGCCATTTAAATTAACAATATTTAATTATTTTATATCAGATGCATTTCTTAACCGATATCAACGATTTTTTTTTGTTCAATTTGTAATTATATGAACTATTTTTTAAAACCATTATTTAAAAACATGCATTTTCCTCATTACGGAACGTACTTTAAAATTTCTAAACTATATAAACTGATCTGAGACACGCCCTAAAACGGATATTATTAAATAATAATGACGTAACGTTGTACGATGGTTGTTTACAGACTTTTAACAGTGTTTGTTCTGCTTAACATAGAAAATTCAAAAAGTTCTGTTTGAAAACAAATTGTATATGATGCCTCATAGTTAAAAAAAACAAGAATATAATGAAAGATCAGAGTAAATTAAAACTCATTAAAGCAATAAATAATTCAAAAGGATTTGCTCCTGTAATTAATAATTGTTTAGTCTGTATTGTTACAAAATATTTATTTTTTTAGATACTGTCTAGTAGTATAACTGATTTAATGTTATGAAAATTACAAATATCTTTGTTATATTGAATCATAACTATTCAAAATGTAATTTTAATCTTTATATTTCACTAAAATCGAGTCTGTATATATTTATCTTACATTATGTAATAAATACATTAAATTTAAGCTGTCTGTACAATATTATACATATTTTTAATTATCGTTACGTTTTAGCTCGTCATACTTTTTACGCGTTTTGGTTGGCAACTAAATTAATACCTCTGTGGTATGATCTGTCTTGATTTCTTAACACTTGTAAGAAGATTGTTATGTCAAATTTAGTAGTTGTTTACACAAGTTCGAAGTTTCGGTGAGTTATGTTTGTTAGATACCCATTTGTTTTTGTATCTAATAGATAGTGGAGTAATAGTGCTAAATCAAAAAGTTTGACATATAATTTTTCTATTCAAATGAAACTTCAAATCTTGTCAATATGTCCGGAATTTTCAAGAATTTGTTTGGAAACAACCAACCTAACCTCAACTGAATTCCAACTTACGAGTTTATACCCAATCAAAAACACTGTTGCAGACTTCAATACACTTGCTGGCTAACTTCGCTGGGCTTCCTCCTATGTCACACGGACGACTCGTTTTCGCCCCAGCCCTCAGAGTCACACTCGCTGTCGCTTCCTGAATCCGAATCGCTGAATTCCACAGCGACCCTCCTGGCCAGGATACTGGCCACGTCATGCAGACCGTTCACGCCCCTGTCCACTTCCTGTCGCTGTTCGTTTTTCTCCACTTTACGAAGTTTTATTCCGTCTCGGATCGCCTGGAAATGAAATAATTATGTCACACTTGCGTTTTGTACCACTTGCTTGTTCTTTTTGAACAAGCATTAAAAACATGACTGGCGATTCCACCCTATACATATACGTTATGTTCCTCGGATGATCAAATAGTGTTGGCTCAAGATTATGAAGATCTACAATATACTATGTCAAAAAAAAAACTCATCGAAAGATACAAACATTGGGGTCTTGAAGTAAACCTAACTAAAACTTGAGTTGAAGCAAGCAATCCAAGAAAGAAATACCCAAGAACGAAGAATTATTAGCCTACTTAATAGCATTCTATGGGACCAAAACATATCCAAGACTAACAAACAAAATATACATAACAGTATTGTTAAAAGCGTTATAACTTATAGCAGTGAAGTATGGCAATTAAAGAAGAACACATAAAAGATGCTGGAAGCAACAGAAATGGACTTCTGGGGACGATCAGCCGGGAAATTAAGGATGGAGAAAATTACGAACGAAAGGATCAGATTAATTAAAGGCGTCAAACATTTTATAGTGGAAAATATAAAAGTAAAACCCAACTTATACTATAATATACATTATACTGCCATTACTCGCTGACGAGTATTTGACAGGCATCAGAAGATGGTCACGCACGGCATTTTCTTTCATGAGCTTTTTTTTCTGTGACCGAAAAGCCTGATACATGATGTTATCTTTCTACCGCACTCCGGACATTCAAAAATCTCATTGCTTTGATCGCTCGGCCTCCTCTTACCGTCTACAAGTGCACTGTAGAGCAGATTTTGGTATGCGGTATTTGGTATGCATTCTGCATATGTGACCAGCCCATCTTAAGGGGGATTTTGTAACCATGACTTCAATACTCAAGCAGTTAGCTTTTTCAAGGACCGATACGTTTGAGACATGATGGAACCATTTGATTTTTAAGAGTTCTCTAAGGTGTCTCTGTTGCAACTTATGTTTGTCAAGGTTGTCTAACCAACTGCAACCTAGCCTAACCTAACCTAACCAACTAAATCAACTTAAATGGTACAGGCACGCCCAAGAATGACCATCAATAATAGACTGCCAAAACAAATTGTGAATCGCACATCCACTGGTAGGCGCAAAAGAAGAAGACCAAGAAAAAGCTGGAGAGAGGGAACAGATCGAGAAACAGAAGACAAAAACAATTAGACGCAAATCTCTGGCAAGATAGGCAACAATAGAGACTAGGAATCGGAAGACGTCGTAACTTACCTTCAACAAATCGTTCCTTGGATCGGCTAGAGGCGGTCCCAGCTTGCCCAACACCCTGTCCTTGACCGGCGTCAGCTTGGGCGGACTTGCCAACGCCCTTATCAAATCCCCGTTAACCATTGGCCCGGCGGGCGGGGCGTGGATGTTAGTCGTCGGCATTGGCGGCGGCGGCGGAGGAGGTGGAGCCGCGGGCGCGGCTGGCGGACTGGCCACGCCCGCCGACTGGTTGACCTGAGAACTGTTGAGGCCGCCGGCGAGTTGCTTGGGGGGCGAGGCCTGTTTAGTCTGGATGAGCGTTTGCTGGGTGGGCGCCGGCGGAGGCGGCGGAAGGTCCTGGTTGTGGTTGATCGGTGGCGGACTAAGCGGAAGTTCGGGGGTAGATGATCGGTGCGGGCTTTCTGACATTCGATGCTGGAATTACATAAATTGTTATTATAGAAAGATAAAATTATTTTATTAAAAAAAATCAATATGGAACGAGTTACTACGAAAAATTACTCTACTAAAAAAACACACTTTAGTTTAGATTCTGAACGCACATTTGGATAACCATATTAGCATCAGCAGTAGATGATGATTTTCCAGTTTTAATCATCTGCTGGTAATGTTAAGGCTCAATACTGTACAATGGCAAAAAAATGTACAATCATCTGCCTTTGAATATCAAGTCGCTTTCATTCTTTCCCGCATTTCGCAAATCATACTTACTGGCGAGAGCATTATATGCGGTGAACGACTTTTTTGTTGATGTTTAATCATAAAAAATTTTGAATTTTAAAATTTTGATCATCTCACACACTGGTTAAAAGTCTCTAGTATTTAATTTTTTATAACCAGTGGCGTAGCAAGGCGGGGGCGGAGGGGACGGTACGCCTCGGGCGGCGACCCTCCAAATACCTGCGGGACAACAAAAAATTGTTATAAATGTGGCGGACGGATTCTGTAGGGGCGGCAAACCTCCCTCCTAGAGGCTCTCCGCCCCGGGCGCCCCTAACTCACGCTACGCCCACTGTTTATAACTCTTGATTATATCTCTCTTGATTATTATTAGGTAAGATTTAGACAGACGATGATAGAAAAAAAGCAGATGACGCCCCATACCAATCAAATTATTTTACTAAAAAAAGTTTCTAATATTTTTTAAGTTAACTATGGATGGATTTAAATATAAATCCGTCATGTGTCGTCTCTTGTTGTTTTTAACCAGTTTTATTGGTTTATTTCAAAAATGACAGATCATATTTTAATTTTATTGGTTTGACGGAACGATGAACGACAAATGGACGCCGATACGTATGAACACGCCTTTAGATTTTTGAGACTTGTCAAAGTCTTGCCAAATTATAGGTTATAATTTTGTGTCAACTCATGTCAAATATTTGCGTTTTGGAAAACGATGCATTTTGATTCGTGTTATTACGTGTGTTTTGTGTCTTTTGAAGTCAAGTGGAGGAAAAATCGTGGGAAAATTAACTGTAGACCACAGAGAAAATACTCGTATATGCTACAAGGATCCTACTAAACATATACTACTGGAGTAGCTAAAAAATATCGACATCACACGATAGGTAAATAATGGATATTAATACTGCAGAAAAATAATGTCAAAAGGTACTGGTTTAAAAAAATTAAGATTAAAGTTAAACAATCAACCTTCAGATAAGCTATACAACTTGGTAAGTGTTATTATTAATGAAATAGTTTCTTTTATTTGTTACTGTGAAATATTACAAATTTGTATTTGTACATAAGTTATATTGATAAATATAATAAATGCGGGAAGTTTCTTGAAGCTTGAAAGTAAGAAATAGTTCTTTTTTATATTTTTTTGGTAAGTGGTGTTTTGTTCTTGTGTGTTTTGTATTAACACATACCGTATTTTTAAATAAAATAACTGGATTATATTTTTTCAGTTTTATACAGTTTTTTTTCACAATATTTTGAAGTAATCACTTATCAGTCAAATTTTAAATATATTAATTTCTTGCTATGTGTTCCAGTTGTACCAACTTATTTCTTTGTAAAATAAAATAAACTACTTTGAAATTAAAATGACAGACACATCTATCACTGTCAAGGATCTTGTCTTTGGACAGACTATAACTGCATTGTGTGTGGACAGACTATAACTGCATTGTGTGTGGACTGACAAAGTTTAGATCTGTTGTGTGCGGACTGATTCAGTTCAGATCGTACAGTCCTACAACTGCTGGCAAACTGTATGTGAATGGGCACCTTAAGTGTCACGGAATTGTATTGAAAAAAATTCCCAACAGAGACACCGCCCATTCTTATACATTGGTTATTTAACAAAAAATGTTGTTTATCTCAAAATACTGATTTTGACACTTGAAAATTATTTACTTCAAGTCTTGAATTATATTACACCCTAGGTTAGGCAAAGAAAATATCTTTTTTCAGTTAAAGTTTACGTACTTGTAACATGTGGGGTGGTAGCCCATTAGGCGGTGGCGAAGTAGGCTCTGGTGGAGGAGGTGGCGGCGGTAACTGATCCCGACCTGAAGACGGGATCCTACCTCGAGTTGGAGTACCTGAAGTCGGCGTACCTTGATTCGATGGGGGCGCTGGAGGGGGTTGACTAGGCCGCGATTTGCTTCTTGTGGGGGTGCCTCCGGCGTATAACGATTCAGAGCTAGAGGGACAAATGTAGATTATTCAGTATATCCAAAGTATAATGGCTAAATATTGAAAAACAAAATGTACCTATAAACTGAAACATAAAAATAACAAGGCATGCTAGGTATGATTACTTACCTTAAAGGTCCCTGTCCATATAGTCCATGATGATATAGGCTCTGCTCATCATAATTAGAATTTGACCATTATTTTGATACAGGGTAGGCGAATGTAAACCGTCTATGTGTTCAACGTCTCTTTGATACGATCTCCTAATCTCTATTGAATTGGGTCTTGGAGGTCTTTGATCTTGGTTTGGAATATAACCATCAACTTCTTGATATTGCTGTGGTATTTGATGAGGAGTCCTATTATAAAAAGTTTTATTTAATACACATACACATACATTTAAATCAAAATGTTTAATGAAGAATACACATAAAAAAAACAGATGTACCTATAAATTGTATTCTGTTGAGGCATAATATATTCTCCATGTTCTCTAGCAATTTGTTTTTGCCTTTCTCTAGTATTCTGGGGTGCCCTGACTCGCTTTTTATGCCTAGGTCCTCCTTGGGCACCATCGGCAGAACTCCTTCCTCCTCTATGACCCCTGTAAAAATGAAAATTACAATTGAACTATCTCAGGCAAAACTACTAAAGTATACAAACAAATCCTTACTAAAAATATATACTTTAAAATAATGACTTACCTGTTTTTGCCCTTATCGTGCATGACGCGTTCCGTGTCGTTCAGCATTTCGGCACGCCACAGCTCGAAGAAATAGTTTGGATCTGTGTAGAATTTCAGACCATCTTTGCCGTCGTCCCGATAACAGTTCAGTTTGTCCAAAGGTGGGGGCCTATCGCAGGAACTGTACGTTTCCAGCATGGCGGTAGGCATTGTACCTCTCGAAAACACCTGAAAAAATAAAATAAAGACACATCAACATACAATGGGAGTAACCTAACCTAACCTAACCTATCCAAGTTACCTGTTTATTTTCTATACGTCATTCTCTAACCCGTTGCGAACTCAACCGCGACCATCGACCGATGAAGCAGCGTTACTTCCCCACTCCGGTTACCTCGACCCCCACGCGTTATATTCGCAACTGGTTAAAAAATAACGTAGTATATAAAATAAATGCTTATTTTATATACGGTATCTCTATACTGTTACGAGCCCAACATCGACCATCGACCGATGCAGCAACGTTCGCCGTAGTGCATTCCCCACTCCGCTGTATCTGGACCACCGACCGTTATCGAATAACTGAGATTTTTCATTCCTGTTATTTTTTGGAATTGCTTCGAGCCGCATAAAATTTTGTGGCGATGCAGAGCGCCGACTTCGTATCACAAGCGGTCGATCTCTACATGTCGTTATTTTATATCTGTATTTTTTTAGAACAAGGGATGCGCTATGTTATTTTTAAATAACTGTTATAAAATAACAGATAGTTAAATAACAACCCATCTCTAATTTGAGTTTAGTAAACAAGAATAATAAAGATGTAGGCTATTTCAACCCATAATTATATAAAAGTGAAAAATTATGCAGATAATGTGCTTTCATAGCAGTAATACTCAATCAAAATTAAATTATTCTATCGCTCTTCGTTTTTAAGATAAAAAATTAAAATATTATTTTTTCCGCCATCTTTGTAGTGCTTCCCAATGGTTGAATTTGAATCAACAATTGTTTATACAGGGTGTTTCAAAAAACATGTGCCATCTCTCATGGAGAGATTCCTCATGTAAAAATACGATTTATTTTTCATATCAACATAGGTCTGATTCTGCTTTGTTTCGTAGCTACAGGGTATTAAAATCTTATTATTCTTTTGATTTATTATAATTTTCTTCCAAGTACTATTAGTGATTGGAATGAAATTTTGAGGGTAAAAGTTAATATAAGTGCTACATATTTTAATACTAAAAAAGTGTCGTCAAAAAAATTCATCAGGGACGTGCTTATGGGTTACCTATCACAGGAATATTTAAAAAAAAAGAACATGTGTGCCACTGACTTTTTTTCTTTTGATATCAAAATTGTGTAGGCCGTTTAAAGCCAATTAAAAGTTATCTTTAAATATTTTGTCGAATTCGGCCTCCTTGATGAGATAAACGCAATTTTATTAATCACAATTAATAAAATTAAAATAAAAATAAAATTAATAAATTACATATTTTACATAATTTATTATTAAATATTTTTATAATTAGTTATTATTACTATCAGTCCAACCTACAGCAATTTCAAATAAAAAAATAATGGTATTTAAGATAATTACAAAAAACCTAATTTTAAAAAGTTTTAACATCCTGTAACTCTAAAACTATGCATTTCCATACCCATGTTTATAGGTTTTTTCATATTTTCTGATGAGGAATCAATGAGTACTTACTAAAAACTTTAGCAAGTTAATTATATTATTTTTTTTAAAGATAAGATGAAAGCTATTAGACTTGGATCAAGGCAAATTAATAAAATTGCGTTTATCTCATCAAGGAGGCCGAAATCGACAAATTATCAAGAGACAACTTTTGATCGGCATTAAACTGCTTACACTATTTCGCTAACGAGATAAAAAAGTCAGTGGCGTACATGCTTTTTTAGAAAAATATTCCAGTGATAACCCATATGCACGTCCCTGGTGAATATGTCGACACTTTTTTAGCTTTAAAATATGTCGCATTTACAGTAACTTTCACCCTCAAAATTTCACTCGAGACGCTAAAAGTACTTTGAAGGAAAGTATAATAAATCGAAAAAATATTAAGTTTTTAACACCCTGTAACTAAGAAACAAAGCAGAATTGGACTTATGTTGATATGAAAAATAAATCTTATTTTTATGCGAAGAATCTCCCCAAGAGAGATGGCACATGTTTTTTGAAACACCCTGTATATCCAATCTAACTAAAAAAATAAAGAATTTTCTCTTTAGTCACAAACCATAAATATCAAACCTGTTACGTTACGCTAGCCGTTATATTATTCGCTAAGTAGTACCCACAAACAATATAAATCTGTCCACGTCGCCATTAAATTAACATATCGCCTTTAATAATTCATTTTACCTGTTGATCGAACACGGTGGCGCTCTTGAACGCCTTCCGCATGTGAATGTCTTGCAAACTGACTTCCTCCACGGTGCTGTCCAGCTGGGTCACTTTGACGGCCAAGCGGTCGATGCGGGCCTGCAAAGAGTTGGATCGCTCGTAGAGTTGTTGGGCATCTCTAGCCAATTCGCCAAATAAATCTTCCGCATGTCTGGAAACAAATATACAGCAAAATTAAATACAGGGTTCGGCAGTTCGGCAATAGTCCGTCGGGCATCTGTAGCTCCTAGAAAAAACTTGGATTTTTTTTAAGTACAAACCTAAAGTATGTACTAGGATGTATTTCAGGAAAATATTTTCAGTAAGTTAAAATATTTTCAGGAAAATGATTTAATTTAGCTCAAAAAAGTGTAAGGATGATTTTTTTAAAATGGGACACCCTGTATATTATTGCATTTTTGGCTTCCTTTCAGATCACTTTACATAATCCTAAGATATGAGTAAATATATTTCGATAGTTTCAGAGATAATTAATAAATAAATAAAAAAATATATATATTTTTTTCAGCTTCTTTTAACAAAAATTATTAAAAATACAAGAATAGTCGTGAAATCAAAAAAAAACTATGTTAGATACTTTACTTTACTAGATGGTCTGTATTTACTTTGCTAAAAATATGGTAATAGTAAATCATACAGGATGTTCAAAATTCTACGTCAAACTTTCTAAAATACAAAATAATTTTTCTCCGTTTTTTTAAATGCAACATCCAAATAAACATTTTTTGTATTTAGTGTATTTCAAAATATTTAACGGTTTCGCAGATATTCGCTGTTTTATATTTCATATGTCATCTTCAATAATATAAAAAACTAACAAACGAAGGTACTCGGTGGCCTAGAGGTACAGGCTCTCGTCTACCAATCTCAAGGTAGTGGGTTCGAATCCTACACCCGGCATTTCATCAGCCGACTATTTTTATTAAAATAAAAATAGTTTGGGAACCTAGGTCGACTCAGCCTTAAATGAGTACTTGGGATTCGCAATCCTGAGGTAATAATAGGCGGTTGAAGCGTAGTGCTAGCCACATTACCTTCCTTGTATACCGAACGGCTCTAGCATGGCAAGCTGTACCTTGCTACTTCCAAGGCGTCAAACGCTATATACGGGAGCTATTATTATTATTATCTTCAATAATAAATTTTTATCAAAGCCACTCAATGATTTTTCCATAGAGTTGATTTTTCCCTCGGGAAGTTTCATAATGAAAGTCATATTGGAACCACCCTATTGATGCGCGACTATCTAAATTTAACTTTTCTAACATGTCTTGAAAACAGTTCTCTTAAAAACGTAAATAACGTTCGCGACGTTAGGAGGACGCAATCTCATTAAGGATGTGATTATCTACAACTTTTATCTGAAAACTTTTTGATTAAAATAGACTATAATGGAATTAGGGACAATTTTTAAAATAGCCAAAGTTTTTTTTTCGAAATATCTAGTAATCCATGAACTTTTTCAAAAATCTGAAAGGCGCATATTTATGACCTCACAAAACTGTAGTTCCCCATTTAACCGACTCTCTATCTGCAGTAGTTTTCGAGAAACTCATAGAGAACGTCGTAGAAAACACCCTGTATATTGAAAATACTGAAGACCATAATATGAAACAGAATAAAAAATAATTTTGCATTATCTAATTAAATTATTTTCCTGATACATTTTTTAATGAAAATGTACTTGAATTATTTCAGTTAGACATGTATCCTGCTTTTAGAAAGTTTTATGGTTTAACGGGATTTGTGTGTGAGTTAAAATAATGAAATTTTTAGTTTTTATAATTCTTCACACATACAAAGTTAAAGCAAACTTGATTTTAAAACTCTGGCCATATTTTACATTAATAAAGATTTAATTGGTGTAATAAACATTTAGATGGTGTATTAAGTACAATATATTTATTTTAATGTCAAATAATATTGAAGCAAGTTGCAATTATTTGAACATTTAATCAAGAATGTAAAAGTTTTATGTTTTCAAAAAAAAAATATCGTAAAATTCGTTAAACAATCAATTTAGAATAAAATAATCTAAGAATGAAATGATTCTTTAATAAACCTGCATTAAATCAAATTAAAATAGGTATGTAACTTTTTTTAATATTAAATAACAGCCAATTAGCATTATCATAAATTATAAATAATGTACCAACATATCGAAATAATAATTTCTTTGTTAATACGGTTTAGAATTCTTAAAATAACAGGCAAAAATAATCCACAATTTACAATAAAATAAAAATTTCGTTTAAATTTCTTAATCAACTGATCACTATTAAAGTTCGCAGAAACCCGGAGCTATATTATTACATTACTCTGAGGAAAATAACGAAAATAATCGATATTTTTGACTCCGCCCCGAAAGGTTCACGATTTGTCTTCCAGTTGGCAGCACATTTTGTCTAGTCGGTTGGGCAACTTTAAGAATATATAAACAAGGATATTACATATGAAATAATACTGCGTGTATCTGCGAAACCGTTAAAAATTTTGAAATGCTTTAAATACAAAAAAATGTTCATTTGTTAATTCTCCATTTAATAAAAAAAATAATATACAGGGTGTTCCATTAAAAAAAACAAAGAAAAAATATTTTATATTTTAGAAAGTTTGGCGTAGAATTTTGAACACCCTGTATAATTTAAGATTACAATATTTATAGCAAGGGAAGTATAGACTATCTAATGAAATACCTAACATAGTTTTGATTTCAGGACAGTTCTTAAATTTGTAATATTTTTTTAAAGAAGGTTGGAAAATATATATTTTTTATTTATTTATTAATATCTCTGAAACTATCGAAAAAACGATCTGAAAGGAAGGCAAAAATGCAATAATATACATGGTGTTCCATTTAAAAATAAATCACCCTAATCCCCTCACACTTTTTTGAGCCAACCTATAAAAGTTAAAATATTTTCCTGAAATACATTCTTGTAGATACTTTAGGTTTGCACTTAAACAAAATTCCCAGGTTTTTTTTATTCTAGGAGCTACTACAGATGCCCGAAGCACTATTGCCGGACCCTGTATAGTGGAGTAAAATCTCTGAGAAAAGTCGCTTCATTCTCGAAAAAAAAATTTTGAAGGTATAACCACAGGTAAAAAAACATGGTTATTTTTGACATTTTCCGGGATTAAAAAATTTCTGCCCCCCCCCCCAAAAGGTCGTAATTAGTCATTTCACATGCACAAAGTCCTAACTGATAATCCTGTATAAATATCATGTAGTTACCTCCAAAAAATATATTGACACATTTTCATATCGTTTTTACTCGACTAGTATGTATACTAAAAGATACAGCACGCTACTACCGGGTGTTTTTCAAAAGTGCCCCAACCCTGTAACTTTTTTATTTTTTTTTAGATAAATGAGAATTGGTATAGTCTGTGAAACGAATAACTTTGAATTTGACAGTTCCCGCAAGCTTTTCTAGTGTTAATTTTATTAGGTTAGCAACTTGCGGCCATGCTGACGCAATGCCGTCTCTAATAGAACAGTCTCGGAGCGAGATTTATGACGTCACGCTAGTTAGATACTACGGATTAATAAATATGTATTAATTAATAAATATATATGTTACTGTAAATGTCCGAAATGCGGCAAAAAAACTAGGATAAGCGCGCTAAACCTAGGATTTACCAAAAACATTAACTAATTAGGTTAGCCTGGTTATTTGGAGGGTGTTAATGCATTAGTTAGCCTGGTTATTTGGAGGGTCTTAATGCATTGGTTAGCCTGGTTATTTGGGGGGTGTTAATGCATTGGTTAGGTGGTTATTTGGTGAGGTTGGTTGGTTTTTACTACCACTTGCGTTTGGTAAATCCTTGGTTTTACCGCATTTCGGACATTTACAGTAACATATATATTTAGTATATTTTATATGTAATTTTTTGGATTATATTCGACACTATTTTTTTCATATGACACAACACTGATGAAGGCTATAATGTTAGCCGAAACCAAATGAAAAAAAAAATGAAAAACCAAATGAAAACTTAATCAGCGTTTTTCCCGAACCTAAATCCCAAGAAAATCAAAAATTTTAGAATAATTTTACATATAAAATGACAGCGATCTTTATTTCATAGCCATCGCTGACGCCTTTTTTCTATGATATTGTATTATTTGCAAATATAATTTTTCGAACATTGATACTTGCAAAATATGCATATAAATTTTGTGAACATAAATAATAATACATCACTATTAGTAGATATTGAATGTTTTTTGTTAAATTAGATCGATTTTCAAACCCCCAAATTTAAAATATATTTTACATTTTACCCATTACCTTATGTACCTATTCATTATTTGTATATTGTAAAACATTTGCTGCATTTGTATCATCGTTCATAGTTTATTTGCCAAAGTATTTAACGACGCATGGTGTCATTGATGATGCAACGAAAGTTGTCTTAGTTCCCTTTATATTGTATTTATTAACTGTATATTATGTATATTTCATGTAAACTATATCGTTTTTAAAAAATAAACCAAAAATACGAGGAATAATTGTTTTCCATGTATTCTACAACATATTTATTAATCCGTAGTATCTAAGTAGCGTGACGTCATAAATCTCGCTCCGAGGCTGTTCTATTAGAGACGGCATTGGTTTGATATTTAGAAATGTCAAAAGCTGATGACATTTTACTTTTGACAATTATGTCATTTCGTGTTGATTTTTGTAAGAAGAGGAAGAACTGTCACTTGTTTTATTATTTTCCTTTTCTATTTCACGAAAGTAAAAAGAGTTACCTATCTGATTCGTTCAGGCACTTAATTTAAAGAATATCAGTAACTTTTTTGAGAGGGATTTTATATTTGCCATGTTGGTGAAAAATAACGGTCAAAATTCAAAGTTATTCATTTTATACTATATGTATATATAGTACTATATGACATAAATCGGAATTGATTTATTTTTTCTTTGCTTATATTTTGCATTCCATTTTCTATTCTTTGTTTATTATATGAACTACAATCTTATTATATTAAATCCAAATCGCATCATTTAAAGGTGCATGAAAACGAAAAGAGCTATGTTTTCTGGATTTATTTTTGGGCTGGTTTTCTAAGTTTTCTTATAAATTATTAACATTAAAATAATATTAAAACAATTAATTGTTACTTTTGTAAATACCTAGATAATGAAGACAGTTGTCTAACGGTGTTGGCCAACGTTCCATTGGTTACTCCTTCCAATTCAGAAGGAAGTCGCAGCTCTTCGGGTAAAGTACCCCTGGTGACGTAAATAGGTTCTATGAGTCGTTTTGGAAATGGCATGTTTCCGTCTTCTTCAAGCCTCAACTATGAAAACCGTCAGGTTCAGTCTGCCGATGCCATTTCATATCTGTAATAAATATTATGATCTTTAAATAAATTTAATAATGAGTTAATAATCCACAAAAAAACTACACAATTTCTGTCTCGATTAACTCTTGGTAACAAAAAACCATATACTTCAAAAACGTTTTACCATAGCGTTTTACGTTGAAGTACGTTAGGCTGAAGTACAGTTGTACTTCCAACCCAATTACATATTTGATCCGCAAGCATTTTCTGAATAAAAATATTCTGACGCAATCGTCATCTTTTGTGAATAAGACTATATAATAATTAATCATCAACGCAATTACTAAAAATTGTAGGCTATTTAGCACGTACTAAAATTACAGACACATACTAATGGACTTCTCTAATTACATTTTTTTTGAAAGATAAATCAACCAGAAAAAATATAAACAAACATCCGTTCATAGATTAAATTAGTGGTATATATTGTTTTTTTTTAAATTAACTAATAATATCTTTATTTTTAATTTTAAAACCTCACAAATTGTCATAAAGTGGTCTATAATAATGCTTTTTAACGACAATTAGTATATTTACTATAATTAATTGATAATAGAATGCTAGAGAATTGTTCATAATATAAATAACTGTTCTTTTTGCTTGTAATCTATTAATAAAATAATAGATAAAAAAGTTCGTGCAAATTTATGTTCTAAATAATATGCTTCGTTTCGGAGATACCTAGATGGAAAGGAAATACTGCCATCACAGGAAGTGAAATATCTGGGAATAACCCTGGATAAACCTGGAACTTCTCTGGAACAGGCATATTAAGAACATTACCAGCAAAGCCACAAAGACTCTCATGATATGCAGAAGACTGGCGGGAAATAGGTGGGGCTGCGCCCCTAACATTTTGTGCTGGATGTATACCATGATAGTGAGACCCATGATTACTTATGGAGCAGTTGCTTGGTATACAAAACTAGAGCAACGTACAGCAAGGCAAAACCTGTGCAAAGTACAGAGACTGGCATGTATTTGCATCACAGGTGCCATGAGAACATGTCCAACAGCAGCAATAGAGGTCATTCTAGACCTAACACCACTGCACATTGTCGTCGGTAGTTATGCCAATGGGAGAATTTTCAGGTCAGGGGCTTGGAACACCCTCAAAAAGAAAATTTCACTTCTCCAATTCCCAGTGGATGACATACCAAGAATTTACAACTTTGCGAAACACCTCACTGTAGTATTGAGTAATAGAAAGGATTGGAAGAAAGAAACGTTTACTCAGCATATAAAAGACCATACCATCACGTGGTATACTGATGCTTCCAAAACCAAAGCAGGGACAGGGATAGGAGTATTTCGGCCGAAAACTAAATACTCCGAACCAATAGGCACCTACCCCAGTATCCTTCAGGCAGAAATTTATGCTATCGAAAGATGCGTACAATTTATCTTAGAAAGGAACTATCGAAAACAGGAAATTGCCATCTTATAGTCAAGCAGCACTTAACGCGATCAACTCAGTAACCATCAATTCGAAGTTGGTCAAAGAATGCCTAGAGGAGCTCAACAAATTAGGCAAAGAAAATAAATTCGTTCTACTCTAGGTGCCCGCTCACCAAGGGATAGAAGGCAATGAAAAAGCAAATGATCTAGCTAGAAAAGGAGCGAACACTCCACTAACTGGACCTGAACCGTTCTGTTTTCCAAACGGGAACCAAGTGAAAGCGGAACTGAAGAATCTGGAAGACTCCATCCGTAACTTGGAATGGGTGTCCTCCAACGGTCTAAGACACTCGAAAAAGTTCCTCAGAACTTACGACCGAGAAAAATCAAAGGTTTTCCTTGATTTAAGTAAAAACAATCTTCGGATTGTCACGGGGTTTCTAATAGGACACTGTCTCCTCAACGAACACCTCAGTAGGCTGACACTGAAAAACAACGGCGAATGCAGATTTTGTGGGGAAAATGGGGAAACACCAGAACACCTTATCACTGAGTACGCCGAGACGACGACCATTCGTGCCATGAACCTTAGTAGTCTGATGTCGAGGATGGAGAGCTGACCTCTGTAGAGCCGTCTCAGATACTGGCTTTTGTTAAAGCCCTGAGACTGTATGATGAGTTATAACTCAAGAAAGGGGAACACACAATAGATCTATAAGGTCGCGGTGATTAACTCCCCTCCTAAACATTCTACATTCGGAGATACTTACAGAGTGTAGAAGCAATTCTGTAAACTTTGGTAGAAGTTTCATTTTTATTTAGTATTTTTCCACGTAATTTTTGAACTAAGGTTGGTACTTGGACGAAAATTGGTGTCAGAGTGTTTTTTGACTTGACAAAATTTTGTTTCGATTTCAATGTGACTCCTACCTGTAGGGGGCGCCACCTACATGGTTTTTAACTGGTTTGAAGTAAAGTAACTTTTCGTCCGTACGTATGCCAATATGGACGTTAATTCAGAAATTACTTAAAAAAAAACTAGAAAAAAATATAGAAATAAAAATGAAACTTCTACATCCTGTATCTCTAAAACGAAGCATTTTAAGACATGATTTTATACGAACATTTTACTTATTTTTGTATGCAGAATATGTTAACGAACTTTCCCGACTACAATTCAGACCACCCTGTACATTATCACACTATCAAAAAAAACGCTCTCAAAATATACAGGGTGTTCCACATTGAATGAACAGTGAATGAACTAGGCTTTATTAAGGTTTTATTGATGAGAATAAAACTACTTTAACTCCTACATTTAAAATTTTTACAAGCTCCAATACTAAGCCCACAGATCCAGTAGGTACTAAATATCGCTAAAAAACCTGTATATTCTTACATGAAATACCGTGTATTTTGAAAATATGAAAATCAAAAAGAAAAATTAATGTAATTTATTAATCATCCAAAACAAAAATAAAATGGTCATATTTTAATTTGTGTACAGAGTGGGTCAAATTGGACGCTTTTACAGAGAAACACCCTTTTCTAGGAGATAGACACTCCCCACTCCTGCCTACCATCGGGCTACGCGCGCTAGCCGATCCGTCGCCGTCGCATATTATTCTATATCGGTTACAGTCTCGATCCCGGAACAGGTCCTGAGGAACTAGTTCCTTGAGAAACCAGGAACTAGTTCCTTTCATTCCGGAGTCGGAATGGTTCATTGGAACTAGTTCGTTTTCACGAACTACACACCTCTAATTAGAAGTACTTAGCGGTTATGCGAGGGTATCTTTCACCCCCACTGAGTTAATGAATTTTGCGAGAAATGTTCAAAAACGATCCGGTCTATCCATAATAGAAGACAGTCGACATGTCGAATACCTGTAGCAAAATCTCATGTCTTGGTTGACTATTTATTTTTATTGTGAATAGATATACTTTAAACATGTTAATGTTGTTAAATATAGTTTAAATTGTTATAAAATTCTACATATCTCATTGCAAATATTATTTTCGTTTTAATTGTTGCTCACAGCTAGAATTTTTAGCCGACCATACCAATAGGTATGGTAGGCTATTAGGATCGGAAAAAAAAAGTTTTTTTAATTTCACTCAAAATGAGTTATTTGGGTCATAAATGACCTAAATACAAAATATTTTCGTGGTGTCTGTCCGTCTGTAACACGATAACTCAAAAACCGCTGAACCGATTTTAACCAAATTTGGCACAAAAATACTGTGGCACCCGAGAATCTGGCCATTAGTTTTTGGTGGGGGTGGGGGGTTGGTAAAGGGGTATAGGAGGGTTAAAAATTTAAAAAAAATCGTAATCGTAACTAAATTACAGTAGCTAGCGAAACGCGGTTTTCAAATTAAGATTAGGAATAATATTTGCAACAAAATTTGTAATAACATCAAAATCAGTCAAAGTTGCAGTTTTCGAGATATTAACATATTTTAGTATGGGCGGCTATACGTGCCTCCCGGCGCCAATTTTTTTGCGTTACAGCCGGCGCCGTTCAAAGACTACTTATTCAAAGTGGGCGAATTTTAAAAAAAAAGTATGCTATACTTTTGGAAAGGTAATTTTAAATTATTTTCAATGAATTAAAAATATACAAGGTGTCCCATATAAAATCAAATTTTCTGTTGATAATTCTTAAATTATTATTAATTAAAAAAATATACCTAAATCGTTAAATTCTACGTAAAAAGGTGCCTTGGAAATACATATTTAAATAAAAATACAAAATTTTCCATAACAACAAAGTTACAACGATTTGATAAAAATGCACATTTAAAAAAAACACCCTGTAACTCCGAAACGGTAACAGATATTGATGTGCGGTTTTCACCATCATGTTTTTGATGAGAATTGAGCTCCAGGCTACCGATATTAGTTTTCGTTTATCTCCTATACGAAAAGGGTGTTTCCCTTTAAAATCGTCTAATTTGGCCCACCCTGTACATACAAAGATAAATATTTCCAATGATTGTAGGTTGTAGGTATCTAGATGAGAAAGTAGAAATAATTACAGCCTTTTTAGATAAATTTTGTATAACTACATAAATGCAAAAGAGAATGTCAGAAATAATGAATAGATATGTATTATAGTTATGTTACACAGGTTGATGACATAGTTCTATTACATCTTATGGCGGTATAACGGTAAATTCATACGTTATTTAATATGATCTCAGCTCGCTAATATATTTTTTTAAAGGTAAAGAATAATAACGGTACGATTTTCGTCATTTCTAATACAAAAATACATACCTAACAGTTAGGTAACTTAAAACGAACTTTCTGTATAAAAATATATTTAACTTTAGTAATTTGATAAGATAAAGTTACAGCATGGAAGATTAGAAAATGAACGTAGGTAAATAAGAAAAAAAATCACGTGATTCAGCAGTTTAATATTAACAATTAACCATTGTCTCGCCTACAGGAGATACACAAATGGCTACTTTTAGTTACAGAAGAAAGAATTGCAATTTCCTTTAATTTTTCCAGTCATTTTCTCAGAAAATATACCTACCATTAATTTCTTCAAGAAAAACAAATAGTTTACCATAGCTATTTAGCTATTTAATATTCATCAAGAAGAATCCTTTACTTGTTAATCTATGCACATATAATTTGAATTCCAGCGTAATTTTAATGAGAATATAATGGCTAACTAAGATCTGACTGCAAAGCAGCCTAAAAGGAAATAAGTAGATAAGTTACTACTCAATTTCTTATTAGGAAAGTAGTATTTAAACACTTACAAGATAAAAATATGTATATGACAATATTTAGAAACATATACTTTATATAATAGGTTAAATATTAGCCCTAAGTAAATATACAAATCCACTTAACAAGTGGAGTTATGTTAAACATATCCTTATTATCCAGTAAGCATTCAACTGCCAGGATATGAGTCATTTGGTATAAAACAAGATCAATGCAGTGATATACGACAAAAATATGTTATAGAAGAAATACCTACTATTATAATAAATAAGTGTACTGAGAATAATACTACTTAAGTCCTTAGTTTACTTACTAGTACTTAGTACTAATCTTATCAATGAAAAGCTAAATAGATATAATCTGTATAAAATTAATTTACCAAACTATCCGTATTTTCAATGAGATTGTTTAAATACGTGTGTAACATTAGTCAGTAATCTTAGTAACAGGATATTTATCAATAAAATTGTAGTTTTATTTTTAGTCCTAAAAACTTAATTTAAAAGTAAACAAAACGATACTATCACCAGATGGCTTATTTATATAAATTACATCTGTAAAGCTAAGCTTACAGGCACATAAAACATGTTTTATCAATTATTTTAAAGATATTTTTATTAAATTATCTATCCTTTCACTTGCCAATCCCAAAAAGTCAATATTGTATGCCTATGTGACTTACAACATTAAATTAATTAATTATCCTCACTGAAAAGTACTGGAATACCACTCATGCCTAACAATTAAACGTATTTATATGCACATTTTCTGTTGTAATCGCTATTTTTGCAATATTACAATATTTAATATTAATTTTAAATGTCAAAGATCTTTAGGAAAGGTGAAGAGGCCAGCAAAACATTGGCTGTCATTTAAATAAAAACGTATCTTACCTGCTAAAAACTACTGCAACGTGCACCTTTTTCGATAGGCAAAAGTACCGTGTTGTCCGCATTTAGAACACGCAACTTTTTATTAGAAAAACACCAATTTTTAAGTATAAATTCGAGAAAATGGCGAAAACGAAACACCCAAAGACGAGCTACACTGCATTTCCACTAAATGTTACCACACCCTCGTAACGAAAGTCACTACAAACAGAAACTTTAACTTGTATATTTGGTTGCATAGTCTATTTAGATGAATTTTTTCTAAATATTTTGTTTAAATAAGATAATTATTTTAATTTAATAAATGAATAGTTAAATTCTTATTCTTTTAATATTCTAATAACAAACAAAACTAATAGAATTAAAAAATTAGATATACTAACACTATTAAATTAATGACACGGGCGTAAAAAACATAAAGTAGCGCGTTTGTTAAGTAATTTAAATTTATTGCGCGCTGCACAAGAGTAATTTATAATGTAGTTACCTTATTTAAAGAACAATATTTTGCGATAGTGGCGAAGTAGTTTCAAAAGTTTGCAAAATATAATATAAACACATATCGGTTTGATTTATTTTAAGAATATATACTTATGGGTTTATTTTTAGCGCTGGAATTTTCAAATTAAAACCAATAGTTTTCATTCATCCAGTGTTGTATTTTGCATGTTTTTTAAATCGTCTGAAATGAAGCGCGTAAAAGCAGATTGGAAAAGCTCCTATATAGTAAAGAAGCTGTTTTAGTGGTGTGGTTGATTTATTTAGAGGCAAAATAATTGTGTAATATGAATAATTACGACAAAACAGTCAGTGGCAGTGATTCTAGTTCAGACGACGATTCAGTGTCGGGTTTGGAGGAAGGCGATGGGGTTGCAAATAGTAGCTTAAATAGCTCAAGACCGAGTAGAGGAAAAAGAGATGTATGGTAAGAAAAAAATAGGTATATTGAAATAACTTGTAAGATATTTTAATTCCGCTTCAATCAATGATCATTTTAGCGAGGTCAATTTCTAGATGTCATTTATTAAAAATTTGGAAAATAAAATTAGGTTACGGACTCTTCAGTTTCTAATAAAAGTAAAGTATAAGTGCAGGACTGCAAAAACCGCAAAGTTTTATCTTAACTAATAATCTAGATAACCTTCTTTTGTAACCAGAATTGGACACTCCATACAAAGTTAGTATTTTCTCTCTTACTTTTAACTGGCTATAATTTTTTTATTGATGGAGATAGATAGAACATTAATTAAAAAGACGAATTATAAAGTTTTTAGTGAAATTTTTAATAAACTATTTTTTTTTCAGTAGGACGCCCTTCAATGTAGATTAAAGACACGCACATTGTGTAAGAAAAATATGTCATATTTTACTGATTAATTATAAAAAAATACACAAATGAATATATAAGAAATACATACATATGCGATATCTAATTAAAAATTTTATTTAAATTTGAAAAATAAAACAATAACTCACTACAATACACCTTACTTTTGCACTGGACGCGCGTTTTCTTCACCATGTTAGCATCATCAGTAGATGGTTAATATTTCAGTTTATTTTTTATTTTTTTGACGATGCTAACATAATACTAAATACAAAATATTTTCATGGTGTCTGTCTGTCTGTCCGTCTGTCCGTCTGTAACACGATAACTCAAAAACCGCTAAACCGATTTTAACCAAATTTTTACAAAAATACCGTGGCACCCGAGAATCTGGCCATTAATTTTTGGTGGGGGTGGGGGGTTGGTAAGGAGGTATGGGAGGGGGTTAAAAATTTTAAAAAATCGTAACTCCAAAATTACAGTAGCTAGCGAAACGCGGTTTTCAATTTAAGATTAGGAATAATATTTGCAACAAAATTACTTTTTCTTTTTCGATATTCCGTGTTTCTGTAGTCCGTTTATTGAGAAAATCCGTGTGGAGAACTCCAAACTCCCATCGGACGCGACCCCAGGTGGCGGATAAGGGAAATAACCGCGGACCAAAATTGGAAAAATTCCTTTACTTTGAAACTAAAAGAAGTGCCTACCAACTTTTTATTAACATATTTTAGTATGGGCGGCTATACGTGCCTCCCATGAAAGTTGGCAACCCTATATTTAACAAACTTCTCATATACAGGGTGTCCTATTTAAAAAATATTTTATACGAATAAATATGATAAATGACAGCGTAAGACATTTTTGGAAATAGGCAACAAAAATCGACAAAAAAATTGTTTTTTAATTATTATTTTATCTCCCAAAATAAAAGTTATATCCTGCTCAAGTTATAATAATCAAAATAAAGTACCAGTTCATATCACAAACATGAATTTAGCTTCAAAGTCGACCTCTAAGAGTTAATTAAAAGATTGCAAACAACAACGTGTAGAAAAATATTACTGGTAGCGATCAACAGACTAATAAACCTTCAAATGCAATATATCTTTGAGTGGGAAGTTTATTATTACAAATACTACACTGTAAACTTGGCCCAAACCTAATAGGTGTTTGAAATATGCGTCTGTTGAATGAATTAGACTTTACATTTTATTATAACGACATTGTTATGAACTCGGTTTAAACTTGACGGGTTTGTCTATTCACACATGTTCCTGTTATGTGTATATATTAAAAAACTATACTTCTAAAGAATTTCAAAGAAAGTCATATTTTACTGACGTTACTAGGTCAAACTATATTAGTCATCGAGGAATGATATATTGATATTATGTCACATTAATAATAAGTATCTTTAAAAAGTGAATTATTTTTAGAAACAAGCTCCATGTGTTCAAATTAGTTTCGCACATTTGTTCTTTTGGATCAACGTTTATAAAATAAAACTCACTGGCATATTTTTTTTTCGCTGAAGAGAATGTAGAATGTAGGATGTTTAGGAGGGGAGTTAATCACCGCGACCTTACAGATCTATTGTGTTCCCCTGTCTTGAGTTATAACGAGTTATAACTCATCATACAGTATCAGGACTTTAACAAAAGCCAGTATCTGAGACGGCTCCACAAAGGCCAGCTTTCCATCCTCGACAACAGCCGTCGTCTCGGCGCACTCAGTGTTAAGGTGTTCTGGTGTTTCCCCATTTTCCCCGCAGAATCTGCACTCGCCGTTGTTCCTCAGCTTCAGCCTATATGTGTTCTTTGAGGAGACGGTGTCCTGTTACTACTAATGCCATTACTCGCTGACGAGTATTTGACACGCATCAGAAGATGGTCACGCAAGGCGTTTTTCTTTCATGAGCTTTTCTGTGACTGAAAAGCCCGATACGTGATGTTATCTGTCTACCGCACTCCGGACATTCAAGAATCTCATTGATTTGTTGCCTCTTTACTTTTTGGTTGTCGCTGTTAACTGAGTTTACAATTCTTCTCCATTGAGTTCTATTGTGAGCTACTTCTTCCCACCCATTCTGCATGTTAATCCCTTTTTAAGTTTTCGTGGAAAATGTCCTTATATCTTTTGTGTTGTCCACCCGGCCTCTTCTTACAGTCTACAAGCTCACCGTAAAGCAGATATTTTGGTATGCGGTTCTCTTGCATTATATATATATGTTACCAGCCCATCTTAAGCGGGATTTTGTAACCATGACTCCAATTCTCACGCAGTTAGCTTTCTGAAGGACCGATAAGTTTGAGTCATGATGGAACCATTTGATTCTTAAGAGTTGTCTAAGATGTCTCTATTGAAACTTGTTTAATGCGTTCATGTGTCGGCGGTATGGCATCGGCATCCAGGTTTCGCTCCCATACAACATGTTGGGGATTATTATTGCTTTGTACACTGCAAGTTTCGTTTTTGTGCTGAAGTCATGGTTGTAGAAAACCCTGTCTTTTAATTTCCAAAACGCTCTTGAGGCGCTGCTAATCCTGTGCTGAATTTCGATACTTGCCTTTGAGTCGATACTTGCCTTTTCCGAAATCAAACTGCCGAGGTAATTGAATTCCGCTACTTATTCCAATAGTTCTTCTCAGATTTTTGTAGCATTGTTGTGATGTTCTGGGGGGTGCACATGATTTTAGTTTTGTCAATGTTTGGCTTAAGACCCAAAGCCTCGTATGCTCAGGTATATGTGTTCAACATTTCTTGTAATTGCTGTAACGTTTTTGCAACTAGAGCGCAATTATCAGCGTATTGAAATTTTGTGATGAATTTTGTACATGTTTTTACCCTGAGCAGCCCTGAGTCTTTTTATTTGAACAGACCGCCGCGCCGTCGTATCTGTATCTAATGCCCAATCCTCTCTCCTGCAGTTTGCTGTCCACTATAATGGAGAGCGCTGCCATGAATATGTTGAATAGGAGAGGCGCTAAGACACCTTGTCTAACTCCTGTATTTGTTAGGAAGGGATCGCTCAGTGATCCATGATGGTGATACTCTTGACTTGTTGTTGTTATGGAGGCTTTTACACACTGTAAGAAATTTGTTAGATACTCCAAACTTTTTCATAATTGCCCAAAGTGCATCTCTGTTCACAGAGTCGAAGGCTTTTGTTAGGTCGATGAATGCAACATAAAGTTTAGACTGCTGCTCTTTTACTTTTTCTTGTAGCTGGCGGATGGAAAATATGGAATCGACGGTTGGTGCGAAAACTCGTTTGCGATTCTGGAAGGATTTTTTCTATATGTGGGTGCAGGAGGTTTGACATAACTATTGCAAAAATTTTTTCACCGATAGCCAATAGTGAAATTCTCCGGTAATTTCAGCAGACTGGTGCACTTCCTTTGTTCCTGTTAGAAATCCCGTGACAATCCAAAGATTGTTTTTATTTAAATCAAGGAAAAGCTTTGATTTTTCTCGGTCGTAAGTTGTGAGGAACTTTTTCAAGTGTCTTCGACCGTTGGAGGGCTCCCATTCCAGGTAACGGATAGAGTCTTTCAGGTTCCCAGTTCCGCCTTTAGTTGGTTTCTGCTTGGAAAACAGAACGGTTCTTGTCCAGTTAGTGGACTATTCGCTCCTTTTCTAGCTAGATAATTTGCTTTTTCATTGCTTTATTCTATCCCTTGGTGAGCGGGCACCCAGAGTAGGACTTTATTTTCTTTGATGATCTTTATTAAAAATTTGTTGGGCAACACAAGATTAATCTGCTCTGCTATATCTTAATTGCGCTATTTGCTCGTTAAATCTAGTTATTATTGATGTTCTAGTTTGCTTTACATATTTCTGATTTCAATTATATGATAATTCATAAATATGCAACCGTTTCAGTGGTGGTGTTTTATCTATATTTTATTATATTATTTTATGATTATCTTCCCTATATACCTGTTTATAAGTTTATAACACTATTTATTTTTTTTTTTAATTCACGATTAACTCGGTTGGGTTGGGGTTTTTACCAGAACTGCTCTAGTTCAGGATCTATTAAATATTAAGCACTTGTCGGACAATTCTCACTGTTCCCAATATGGCTGCTTTTAAGTACTCGTTGGTAAGCTTTGGATTTAATTTCAATAATTCCGCATTCTTTGTAAAATCTCTATAAATAAGTCCATTACAAAATCTAGAGATTACAAAAGGTGAAACCATGGCTTTATTGAGCTGGTATATTCTCTATAATTCATATGCAAGATCTTGATACTTATTACTTACTATTACTGTATTTTTTCTGTTGCGTTTTTTTGAAGATCCTGGTCTAATGGTACGGCTACATCAATTATGAAGCATTCTTTCTCGTCCTTGTTTATCCAGAGTATATCGGGTGTATTATGTAATATTGTTTTTATCTGTTAGAATAAGTGTATCCAATATAGTTATTATGCCTTTCTGTATAACTTGTTGGTGCTAACGTGGGACAACCAGAACTTATGTGTCGGATTCTGAAATTTGGTTACACATTCTAAATCTGTCCGTTATGTTTTCTTTCAGAACAAACTTCTTGTGTGATCTTGTAGCTATCACCTGATCCTGAATAGCACATATAAACCTCTCCTTTTCATCGGTAAGTTGAATTTTCGTTAGGTATTTTAGTGATTTACTTTTGTCTACACGATCTGCGTCCAATTCAGTAAAATATTTTCCATGCAGCGCCTTGCCCTTTAATTCCTGCACTATGTCGCCTACACTCAGTGGTGATCTATCAGTGATTTCATTTCTAGCTAGGTTTAAGACTGAATATCCTGAGTCAGCGGTTCTTAGTGCTCGGTGTACAGTTATTTCTTTGCTGTTAAAATATTTTTGTAAACTGCTTACTTGTTTTCTGCAAATATCTTCTAGGTTTGAAAGACCCCTGCCTTCATTTCGCATAATATCATTATTATTATTTATAATTATTATTTTTAACTAGATATACACCGTTATTTCTAGGTGCGGTGTTGGAAATACATCCAGATCTCCCATTTTTCCTCTACGACGAGTGGTATGGCCACCGACCTCAAACCCTCAGACCAGCTTCAGAAGTGGCTATGTGGATCCCAGAAACGCGAGATGGGGAAACCCGAAGCTGGGCTCCAAAATGCAGCTGTTCTCGCAAACGGGATATTATTTGGCCGTCTATCCAGACGGCAAAGTACGGGGAACCAGAGATGCAGCTGATCCACATTGTAAGAAAAAGCTAATCAAAACTTTTACACCCTGACTAAGTTTGCAATAAAAGTTTCTAGTGAAAAAAATTACCTAAAATAGAGAATTTTTGTACATTATTGTATCATTGTATATTGTATTACAAAATCTCTCGTTGAGTATTATTTAAAAATATTTTAGTTCTTATAATAATATATTCTGATCTTGATCTACATCAAAAATAAACTTAATTTATATAGGATTTATATTTCTTTGTATTAACCGTATTTTTGGTGTGATCTCTCTTAAAAGTATTTTAAGGCAGAGATCTGATTGTGTAAAATGTATATGAAAAAATCTCTAGCGTAGATATAGTAGGCTATACAGTGTTCTAAAATCTTTTATTGAAAACTCAGTCAAAGACACAATATATTATATATCAAAACCAGCGATACGATCGAAAAAAAAAACGGCGTTAGAGTTGGCTTGGAAATGATAATGGTTATATAAAGTAAATAATTATGTCTCCTGTGAAATAGACCAAAGTTCATTGGCGTAACTACAGGTGGGCCCGGGGGTGCCGGGCCCCCCTAGGTACTGCTGGGCACCCCTCAGAGAAATCCTGAATTATGACTCTTGGCTACGTATTAATTTTTATTTTCTTGAAATGCAGTAAAAATGACGTTTTCTAGTTTTGTTTAGTTAATATTATTTTGTTGTGTTCTAAAAATGTGTTAATTTTTATTTTTTTAGAACATTTGTAGGTATTTAAATAATCTACGGGAACACGGTTTGATAACCAAGTGTATGAATTTATTGATAGAGAAATTCATATAAACGTTTTATTCAAAAAATGTGTTTTTTAAAGTTATTTTTCATTTAAAAAAAAACAAAAGCCCTAGGCCCCCTTTGGGCCCAAACCCAGCCCCCCCCCAGGCCCACCCCAGGATAAATTGCTAGTTACGCTAATGCTAAAGTTCTCAGTGGATGTTACCATTTTTTTAAATAGTTCTTTTTACATTCTTTGTTTTTTCTTCAGCTTTTTTAGAAATAGTTAGTGCTGGATTGCCTGAGCATGTGAGGATCAAAGGATTACTAACTAACATGTACGTTGCCATGAACAAAAAAGGAAGACTGTACGCTGAAGTAAGGATATTTTTTTATATAATATTTTATAAAATTTCCGTATTTTCTAAACCTACTTGTTCATTTTTTGATAGAATATGTTACGAAGCTTTAAAGTACGATTTTATTATTACTTATTAATTATTATTATATTTGATGTGGTTTTATTTGACAGTTTGAACTAAAGGGTTTTCAAAATTTCAAAACCAAACACTTTCAGTATTAAAAAAGAATTAATTTTTGTATAATTTATTTTTTTGCAATAATTTAAACACTTAATATTTTTCAAATGATATTTTATACCCTCTTAGCAAGTGAAACCTTGGGTCGGCGTTTACATGTATATAGGAGTGAATCACTATGGCAATCTAGTAAGTCTGAGAGAGCAAAAATACGTATACTTAAGTATTTTATTACATAATCACTTAATCTCACGCTAGATTCCATGCGCTTGGGAAAATACTTGCCTTCTGTCTTTATTCAGTATATCTTATTTTGCTAAGCGTGTTGACCGTACTCTTCGTACACACGAAAATCGGCACCCAAGACCAGAAATGCCAGCCCTAGTATGGTTTAGCGATGAACTATAAACTTTTAATCAGAGATTAAGTAATTAAAAAATATATTATAAGACACAATTTGCAAAACAGAGCACTGAGGCTGAACGCACATTTGTCTCGGTCAAAAACGTGTCAAGAGAAGCCAATTGTTTTATTTATAATCAAATATGCGTCGTGACTAGTGATGTCAATCCCGAAAGGTTTTCAAAATCCCGGGATTTTCGAGATTTGAACGACAAATCCCGGGTTTAAAATTATCAATGAAATACCTAATATCAAAAAAAAAAAATAACATAAATATAACAAAACATGAAAATTAACAAAAAACTTTTTAAAAAAATCATATGAACACCAAACAAATTTTAGCAAACAAATTATAGCTACAAATTATAGCTACAAATTCAGTACCTCGAAATCAGTGGAATAAATTAGTAGTTTCAATTAGCCGTAGAAGTTTGTTCACCTAATTTTAATGTAAGCATTCAGAACGTCATAATTAGTGGTAGTAATTTTCAATTAGTGGAAAAAGTTAACAAACCTTTGACTTGTCCACTAATTACACTTTTGCGAGGAATGTCATTTTGGCCTTTAATTATCACCCGTCAAGAAAAACCTTGGTTAGAAATCAAAAGTTTATTGTTTTATAAGCTAAATATTATGCTTTCTCTATGGATACAACAGACTGCCGCAAACTGTTGCTAAGATATTTTATTAATTTTAATTGTGTTTTTTAGACATTGTGAATGATCGTAAACTAAAAAGTATAAAGTGTTATTGAAACCACTAATTTATTCCACTAATTGGGAGGTTCTGAATGATGCTTAATGCGTCCAAAGTTTCATCCCCCAGTTTGCCCCAGTCTTGAACGTATCTTACTACACAAGATCCTTGCCGAAGAAAAAGATCTTTCAGATTCCACGCTGGTGGCTTGAATGGTTGATAAAAATTGAAAAGCTTTTTGGAGATTACGTCCCCGCGACTACCACCATTTGAAAATAATTCAATTTCTTGGGTAATAATGTGGGACAATCGCGTCTTATTACTTCTTTAGCTTTTTATCGGCTTTGAAGATTGATATAATGCTTTCTGCAGTTTAACCTTTAAAAGTTCATTATCTTCCCTTCTCAGAAGTTCGGCAATGGGAAGCTCATCCTCTTCGCTGTCGTTGCTGGTTCCTCTAGAAGTATCTGATGAATTGTCCAGCTCTAGTCTGATTAAAAGCTTTTCTTTCTCTGATTTAATTAGGGAAATATTTGATGTTTTGAAACAATCATCTGGTTCAGAGTTTTTTTTTCCACAATAAGGGGCCGTCCTCTGTCGGAAACACTGCGACCTGTGAGGCCTATTGTGTTTGTCCCCTTTCTATATCTGCACCCGTTCTCCTATCCCTGTGCCCTGCACTAACTTATGCAGGTCCTTGATAGGATGGGAGCATGGTTCCTCCGGTTCTAGCCTAGCTTTCCCAAATAAAAAGTGTCGCTTGCGATCCAGAGCCTCGCAGTGACATATTATGTGCTCCGCTGTTTCAGGATCTTTATCGCAGAGTCTGCAGCAAAGACTTCCTTGATACAGATTGAGCTTGTTCAGGTAACACTTGACAGCCATATGTCCTGTCAAGAGGCCTGTTGTAATCCGCAATTTATTCCTGCTAAGCATTAGCAGTTCTTTTGCGATTTTGGAGCTAGGTCCTTGGATAAAAGCCTTGCTGTGCCTGTGCCCCTGTCTGTTTCTCCAGTGGACATTCTGCTTTTCCCTGATCCAGAGTTTTAGTGCACTACGGGCCATACATTTGGGTATTCCCAGTACTGGCTCTGGACCAAGATAAGATGCCGATGATCCTTGCCTAGCTAGCTCATCGGCTTTTTCGTTGCCTTGGATGCCGCTGTGGCCCGGCACCCAGAATAATTTAATTCTGTTCCGTCGAGCCAGAGCTTCCAGTTCACCTAGGCATTCCCAGACGAGTCTCGACGATACCTTTGGGCTCATAAGCGCCCCAAGTGCCGCCTGACTGTCTGAGCATATATTGATGAGCTTGTCTGAATAAGCTCTTCTATTGTTTTCTCTCGCACATTGTAGAATGGCGAAGATTTCTGTCTGGAATACGGTTGAGTGTTTACCCAAGGAAAAGGATAAACTTACCCTTGGTCTTTCCCCAAATACTCCAGCTCCTGTTCCTTCAGCGGTCTTTGACTTGGTTCAGAGTTTACAGGTCGCTTTGTTTTCAGGTCGCAACGTTGTCGGATTTTACGAAAATTACTTTAGTTCCGAAATTAAGCAATTTACTCTATGGCATGAAAAATCGGTATTTATATAATCCAATCCTGGAATTTTTCGAGGCAAATTTTCTTCCAGGATCCTGGGATTCCGAGATCCCGGGATTGACATCATTAATCGTGACTAAAAATGTTTTGTTATGAAACGGCGATCCGGCGTTCGGCGGCGATCAGCCTGACTGTGACTAAACCAGCCTAAACCTATCTTTACGCTAGCTGTTTAAACTGTAATAAAACGAAGACATGAACTAAATAATGTGCTAAGTACCAAAATCATTATTTCGAGATAAACAATATTTTTTGTTCCATAACCAATATACAGGGTGAGTCTTAAATAAGTGCAAATATTTTTAGGGGTAATATATAGGGACAATAATCGTAATATCGAAACACGATTATGAGGGGGTTTTCCGCGAAATTTTTTTTTGAAAATTTGGAATTTTTTGGAAATTTCTTTAGCTTTTAGTTAAAAAATATAATTTGTTGACAATATGGCAACATAGGTAGTAGATTCTCAAAATTTTAGAAAAAATCCTTTTTTTTGGAAATTTTGAAAGTAAAATATCTCGGTTGTTTTAGATTTATTTGAAAAAACAGCAAAGAGAAAATATGTTTGTTTTATGGAGATCTACCATCACTGAAAATATTTGCACTTTTTTTAAGACTCACCCTGTATAAGAACGAGTGGTGTCTCTGTTGAGATTTTTTTTCACTTATTATTTATCCACGTTGTTGGTTATGGAACTAACATTTTACAAATAAAACATGACAAACTAATTTTTTTGGCACTTTCCGCATTACAGTAAAACCTCGGTTATCCGAGGTAACGTGGAGGTAACGTAACCCTCCTCGGATAACTGAAAACTCGGATAATTCGGATTTATTAAAATATAAGCACAAATACATACTTTAAACGGTTTATTAACATTTTTAACATGTAAATACATAAGTACCTACATAACATATTTGTAGATACTCTATCTACATTATAAAACAGTGAAATAAGTATCTATGCGCTGCTGTTTCATATTGCATCTTCTTTTTCTCGCTGCCATGTTTCTCCACCTGTTAAGAAGAAGCAAATCCGCTGGGGTTGCCTCTGATTGTTGTTCGATATACCTCAGAGCTGTTTCCAGAGAAGTAAAACCTTCTTGATGTGTAATCTTAGTGGAAGGCTGTTCATCCACCTCTTCGTCATAGTTATCGTCATCTGATTTTTCGGTTTCCCAAAAGGCGTTCGCTATTTCTTCAATATTCATTTCTTCTTCTAAATCATCTGCTGTAACCCATTCATCAACGTCTTGTTCATTTCACATTTTCGCAACCTTTTAAGTTTTGCATTAATTCTAATAAACTTTCTTCTTCTTCTGTCTCGTTTAAATTTGTACAGGACATTTCTCCACGGGTTTTCCATTTCAAAGCCAATTCATTTAATGGAATGAATTATCATCGCCACTGTCATTATAGTCCTCAATATCAATAACTTTCGACCAAGATTTTTGAATAGTGGAACCGCGTACAGAATCCCAAGCTTGGCTTACCCAGTAAATAACATTTTGTAGTGTAATCTATCTTATCCCTGTGATAATACCCTCTTCTTTTTCTGTGCATTCTAGTAGATGTTCAAGATATAAACGCCTATAATTTTTTATGTTTTCGAGGACGCCCTAGTCCATTGGTTGCATTATGCTGGTTACATTTGGAGGAAAAATTTTACAACAATTTCGCCCACGTGGAGTCCTTCTCCAGGGTGAGAGGGAGCATTGTCCATTAACAAAATTGCTTTAATAGGGTGGCCGTTTCTCTTCAAAAATTTAGTCACAGATGGCACGAACTCTTGTTTAAACCAGTTAGTAAATAACGTCGCATCCACAAATGCACTCTTCTGACTTTTGTAATAAACTGGTAGAGCTTTGGGTGAGATGTCTTTTAACGCTCTTGGATGTGCAGACTTGCCAATCACCATAAGTGTAATTTTGTGCTTACCAGATGCATTGGAACATGCCATTATGGTTAATCTTTCCTTACTTCTTTTGTGCCCAGGAACTAATTTTTCCTGTCGAGAACCTGCCAACGTTTTTGATGGAAGCATTTTATAATTCAAACCACTTTCGTCACAGTTATAAATTTGATCACATGTATACCCACAATCTTTGATTAGCTTTTTAAAGTCTTGTTTAAATTTTTCAATTGATGACACATCAGCAGAAAGTTTTTCTCCACATATAGTCAGTTGTCGTACACCGTACCGTCCAGGTTTCCAGCGGTTAAGCCATCCAGAACTGCCGGTAAACCTATATGTCTCTGGAAATTGCTTACTAATCATTATTACTTTCTGCTGTAAAATGGGACCTGACAGAGGCATACCTTTTTATCTTTGCTGAGTAAACCACGTGAGTAAAGCTTCGTTAACTTTTTCATAGTCGCCTTTTTTCATTGATTTTCTTCTTGAAGACGAAGAGGCTTGTTTTATACACCATTCTTCTATTTTAGTGCGGTTTCTGTTCCAATCTTCAACTGTTACCTTATCTACTCCATAATCTCGTGCAACAATTTTAATTGTCTCTCCTGCTTGAATTCTCCTAATGGCTTTTAATTTTTCTTCAATAGGAACGACAATTCTTTTACGTTTGTTTTGTTCCATTATAATACGGCAAACGAAAATTTAAACAAAGCAGTTGGTATACACTTAACTAGAACTCCACCCAGATAAATCATGCGAGTACATACGTATACTACTTCTCCGTAGAATAACGAAGTGCATTCACTCAAATTTACATGCTAGAAGAGTCTAAAAATATAAATAAGGGGAACCACTCACACGGGCCAAGGCGATTTCCCGTCGGTCCCAACGATTTTAAAGGGAAATATGTAAATATACATATAGTATGTTTTAGAAGCTCGGTTAATACGGAGCATAGACGCGCGACCTCGGATAATCGGGGTCTTTAGATTGGATCGGTTAATCCGGAGCTCGGATAATTGCGACTCGGATAATTGGGGTTCTACTGTATTTAATTAATTTCTTCAAAAATATTTTTTAATATTATTTTATCTACATCAGTGAGTTAAGAAGCTCTTAACTCACGCATTTTGAGTGAGTTAAGAGCTTTTTAACTCACGCATTTTCATTTCCGCACTCCTTGTTTAGATGACTACCAAAGAGAAAAAAATATTTTGTATTAAAACATTTATTTTGCACTAAATTGGAAAAATATGTTATGAGTACCTTTTCATTTCCATAGTTGTGTACTTTTTTTCGGTGCACCATTTTTCATACTTAGAGTATGTATATTCTAGAATATTATTTCGTACCTAACAAAAAGTATGCCAAAAGAGTATCTCGATAGTATTCGACTGTAATTCTGTATCCCGTATACAGAATCTCGCATACAGTATCCTCGTCTGAAAGAGCTCTTAGTGTGTCAAAAGCAGCTGATGTCACTTTAAACTCAAATTTGCCATATGCATTTAGGCATTCTGTAAGCTATTAATGTATTATTCAATCAAAAATTACGTTACTTTATTACTACGTTCAGTTTATTACGGTAGTAAATTTACTTTTAATCTATTAATGATACATTTAACGACTGTATTTATAACACAGAATAAATTCTATTTATATTTATAGTCAGATCCCAACTCTCCAGCTACTGTATTCGTCGAGTCGTTCCAAGGATCCTATAACGCCTACCTATCCAGAGCTTTCGCCCATCTGGGATGGTACCTGGGCATTAAGAAGTCGGGAAAGTTCAAAAAAGGTCCTAAAACAAAATATGGACAAAAAGCCGTTAAGTTTCTACCGAATAGAAGTCGATTTGAATAAAACAAACTACAAAAATAGCTCTTATTGGGTTATAAAGATTTGAAAAGGCAAGTAATCGTTGCTTTAAATTTTAAAGTATATCTTTTATAAGTTCCAAAAAAAAACGAAAATTGTGTATGGGTAACACTCTTTTTGTAATTGTGTATGGTAACACTCTTATTGTAATTTTATAAAATTCTACAGAAATACAAATTAATTGTAAAGTACTGTACGAGAAAAAAACGTTGCCAATTTGACTTGGAAATGACCATCGATGATATTCACTATACAGGACTTCTCTTTACCGTTTTTTCAAATAAGTCCAAAATAACCTAGTAATTTTATTTTCAAAATTTTCAAAAAAATTATTTTTTGCTTAAGTTTTGAGAACCACTGGATCTTTTCTGGGTTTTCTTCGTTGTAAATTTAATCTAATACCTATGTTGCCATATTATCAAGAAATTATGTTTTTTGCTAGAAACCAAAAAAATTTGCAAAAAATTTTTCAAAAGATTTTCAGATTTTCCAAATTTTTCGTTTTCGAAAAAAAACATTATCGTGTTTCTGGGGAAAAAATATATTGCCCTAAAAATTTTGCACTTACTTAAGACTCACCCTGTATAATTATACTTGTAAAATGACAACTATCTTCATTTCCGAGCCAACTATGACGTCTGTTTTTTCGACCGTATGGTATTATTATATGGTGAATTTAGTTTAAAAAGGAGAAGTATTGAAAAAATCTATGTGTTCTTAGAGTATTTTATGGCCTATTTTCGATAAATCAGAATAGTAGTTATAAACCACTTTATAACATTGGACTACACTGTATATTTCTAATAATAGTATTTTAAAAATAGTCTTTTCCCGTATTATAAAATATCGTAGCTACTCCAGGTGTTAATTTTAATACCAAATATTTTACATAACTATTTATATAAAGCCAAAATTTACAGAATTAAGAATATTTTTAATTCAGTAAAGTTTTATAAAGAAAACTTTATAATTTTATGTATTTTATAAATAAATATAATGTGTTTATTATCCACGTCATTAACATTTTAATTTTTATTGACATTTATTTTTAGATAGGTACTAAATCTATTTTGTACTATGTAAGAAAGTCCATTGAGTATTATAACAAAACCAGTCAGTTACACAACTTTTATTTTTAGAATTCCAAAAAACGCATTTCAAATATTTATCCTTCACATCTGTGAAGGATAAGGATAAATATCTGAATATCTATTCAGATATATCTGTTTGTAACATAAATTACCTAGTAGTATTAATTGTACGCTTTAATAACTTTACGGTAGAACTTTATAACCATGCTTTAGATTGAACAAAAATAACTGAACATGTCTAATATTATATTGTTATCTTTTGTCCATATTTTGTATAATTTGGATATTTAATTTAAACAGTATTTATATGTACCTGTCACAATATGCATACCATCAATCAAAAAATAGTCATTATTAATTTATTATGTCGCCGTGAAACAGTGAAATTGGTCATTTCCTGAAATGCCTAGTCACCAAACAAGTCAGTCAAAGTCACCAAACATCAATAGAATTATTTGGTATTTTATTCTAAGCAAATTTAATATACCGAGTGCGTCTCAAAAGTGGCTCACTCCTATAACTTTTTCATTGTTTCAGTAAAAAAAAACGAGATTTGGTTTGGTTATGAACCGCATGTTATAATTTCCAATACACCATATGCGAAAATGTCAAAAGTTGATATATGATATGTCATTCTATTCATAGTGTTATATTTCTATCGAAAATAGTAAAAAAATATCGAGGGTGCCGTTTAAAAATAAAAAGTTGTAGTTATTTCCGATGAAACAGGAAGTGACCAAAAACAATTGAATACCGTCAATCAATCCTAATTTATGTCATATACTAACACACCAAATCTCGTTTTTCTATCTGAAAAAATAAAAAAGTTATAGGGGTGAGCCACTTTTGAAACGCACCCAGTATATATAAAGGGGGTTTTCCGAAGGCGGAAAATGCGTTAGAAAGTACAAATATACTGCACTTTTTTTGCCAGCGATAAAAATAGTTCTATTAGTAAGAGATCTTGTGCAGTTAAGAAAAAAAATAATCTGGCTAATCTGCGAGAATGGGTAATATGCCTGGCAGGTGAAAAATTGAATAAAAATTATTGAAACCATTGCACTTTTTGCAGTCCTAAACATTTGTGAGATGATAGTTAATATTATAATTACAGCTGCAAATATAGGTTGCCTATTGTGGAACATCCCGAAAGCTTTGCTAGACTCGTGCAACGCTCGTCAGGCGCGCTAAATTCGGTATGTTCAATAATTATACAATGCCGCTTCCTCTCCTCATTTCTCATCATTCACTGACTTGTGAGTCTGGCGAGGCTTTCGTGATTGTAAATGATAACCATACGTTACTTTCTACGAAATTGTAGTATTATTTATCATGTGACAAATTTTCAAATTTGGGAAAATAAGAGCAAAAATATTGTAACTGACTCATTTGTCAATTTCGTAAATCAGCCAGACTTGTTTTTGATTATAGGTAGTTTATGATAATAATATAAAATGATACATTAAATTTCTAGCATGGGAAAATAAGGGTGACGGTTTTCAAAAATCTCTCAGATTTTTGCATCCGCAAATTTTCAGCCAAACTGACCTCCACTTGCGATGTGCCAGACTCTTATTTCCATTAATAAAATGATTCGCTTTAATAAATTTCAAATATTGGGAAAATATGAGAAATAAGTGGACTTTTTTTATTTTTATCTAGTGAAACCATCCGAAAATTTCAGCCAGACTCACAAATTGTCTTTGATATTATCTTCGAAAATGTAGAATGTTTAGGAGAGGAGTTAATCACCGCGACATTACATATTTATTGTGTTTTCCTTTTTCTTGAGTTATAACGAGTTATAACTCATCATACAGTCTCATGGCTTTAATAAAAGCCAGTATCTGAGACGGTTCCACAGAGGCCGGCTCTCCATCCTCGACATCAGCCGTACCAAAGTTCATGGCACGAATGGTCGTCGCCTCGGTGCACTCAGTAATAAGGTGTTCTGGTGTTTCCCCATTTTCCCCACAGAATCTGCATTCGCTGTTGTTTCTCAGCTTCAGCCTACTGAGGTGGACTTTTGTCTTAGACCGTTGAAGGACTCCCATTCCAGGTAACGCACTGTTCTGGTCCAGTTAGTAGAGTGTTCGCATTTTATAGCTAGATCATTTGCTCATCTCATTTGCCTTTTCATTGCCTTCTATCCCTTGGTGAGCGGGCACCCAGGGTAGAAGATTATTTTCTTTCCCTAATTTATTCAGCTTCTCCAGGCATTCTTTTTTTTATTATAATTTTTATTGTTGTCGATCCAATAATATATAATGTGTTCTTTTTTTAATAAATTGGATTAGGATCGAAAGAAATCAACAGAAGTCCTTTGTTTAAATTTGTCGACGTTTCGCAAAATTTATTTGCATCTTCAGGACACTACAAAGTTAAGAGAGCAAAAAATACAATCAAATAAAAGTTTTTTCAAAAATTTAACAAACAACCCAAAATACATATCAGTGGAATTCCACACATATACAATTGGTAAAACTACCCTAATGTTAACAATTAAATAAAATATATGTATATGTTACTCACATTTAAATCTGGACTTTCTTAGTCATATCCATTAATACACGGATGGTATAGAGGGGAGTGGTATATATCCCTTTTTTCCTTTTAAAACACATAACACACTTACATAAAAAAAAACATATAACACAATTATGTATAGAGAAATATCACGAAAATCTTTTCCTTTCACAGACAAGCAGTGCAGATGTACCTACGTTGACCGTATACAGAGAGCAACTAATTCTAGTTGATAAAATTGTTGATAAAATACTAAGTATAATCCGAACATACTTTTATATATTTACTCACTGAGAAAATAAGTACAAAAAAATCATTACCTCCTGGACTATTAATTGGTACATCGATACGATGTTTGCCGATATTACGTGAAACGACTAGGCATTTCAGGAAATGACAAATTTCGGTATAGAGCCATATATAAAAATATATTTTTGATATTGATAGTGCTGCTAAAATTTTGTTTAAGCTTTAGAGTTTTATTAATTTTATTGTCATATTTAAAATTAACTATTAAGTGTATATGTTGGAGGCAGATTCCGAATTCGGCCTATGTCCGAAATAATTAGACATATGGTAATTATAATTAAATATACCTACCTATATCTACAAAGTTACGCGGAAGAGTTTTGATTGCATTGGTTTTCTTATGCGGAGGGTGTTAATCTTTTGTTGTTATATTATACCAAAAAACATTAACCCCTCCGCAAAAAGTTATATAAAGACTATTTATAACCACGAAGTTGCACGCATCTGGCAAGTTTAGTATGGACAAATCGCCATATGTCTAATTATTTCGGACATGAACCGAATTCGGCATCTACCTCCAACGTATATTATATACGTCTATTAAATTGTGTATTGATAAATAATTTATTATTAATATTAAAAAACGCTTTCTTGTAATCATCTAAGGTTTTATTTTATATACCACATTCTCCAATTAAAACAGTTGTTTTCCCGTCACACAGTGCTGCGTCCCATGGACAAAAATCGTTAAAAGTTAAAATTTACTAATATCTGAATATGTAATTTTATACTTATAGCAATGTTCAACCATCCTGTATATTATTTTTCATAAACAGCGTTTTTTTGTTAGCAAATATTTTCACTAAAAGTAAATTTTGCGATTATTATCTTATATCAATGAAAAGAATAACATTCATAGTAGTTCTGTATATGGAGTTAAACGTAAACGAGTTAGTACGTACTTAATTGAAAGCCACTATGGATATTGTTAAACAAGGTATGTACTTTAAATTTATTTCTAAACAAGTTCGTGATTGTTTAGTTTTTATTTATTTTTTAAAATGATTCTTAAATGGGTATAAAAATTTTACGTTTTCAAACTTCAAAAAGGCATTTAAAAAAAACATATCAAAACATATCGTATTTATTGAATATTTTTGTTGTCATATTCATACACTTAATTTTTGTATAGTTCACCTGCGTCTGCTTGCGACGAACTTTATTTTATAATACTTTTCATATGGAGTAAAATTGATAAGCAATGCCGATCTGGTTAATACTTGGCTTGACAAGAACTCAAAATTATTTGTATTTCACAAAATGTGTTCTTTATTAGATATTGATGAACATTCCAGTCAAATGAGACCATTTGTGCCTGAAAAAGCCCACTATTTTGGAGCGAAACGTCGCATAAAATAGTTTCCATCTTTCAATTTATTA